TACATATATACCTAGGTATATAAAAATATCAGAAAACTATCAGATTTAGTATATCAGTTATTTAGGTAAACTTTTTACCTACATGCATAAACATATAACAACACATGAATAAAGTTTGCTAACACAAATGGTCAAAAAAATATATAGAGCACCACATAAACACAGACAATGATATATATAGATAATCATAAGTCATTCCATTTAAATGTCATGTCCAAAAACCGTGTTTATGTTTTTGGTAGCAAATTATGCATTGAAAAATAATTCATATTTATCTGTATGTCACTCATTTAAACCGTTATTTAACTCGTCTCTTTAAAACTTCTCTCTGTCAAATTTTAATCCTCACCTTCAACTTTAGGCCTTCCTGTTCTTCTTTCTTCTTTTACACCCTCTCTCTAGAGCTTTCATACATTTCCCTTTCACACTTGTTTCCCCACTCCCACACATACTCTCACTAAATATATCGAGACAAGCTGCAAAAGATATTGTTTCATTATCAGAAATGATTTGAGTCACTTTTAGATTGTGATTTTTGTCGTTACATTGCTGCTCTGTCAGATACTCACAAATCATTGGTTGGGAATTAAATAAGTTGTTAAACTTTCCATACAAATGTTTTGTTTATAGTAGCAGTCACTATTAGATGTAATCTGTAGTTTCAAATAAGAAAAAAATATTTTACCTGTAACTTTTCAGTATATCTGTCAGTGTATGCTATTTAGCAACTATATCAACCTAATTAATAATAATAATAATTTTCCTTGTCACCTTTTTTATTTTTTATATAATGAAACTTGTATGTCAGATATGAGTGGCTTGTGTTCATTTTCATCATAGATATTACATGTTCAGAAATGGCTAAGGTTTTGAGTGAAAAATCTTCTTCAAACCATATTTTAAGCTCCCAATTGTTGTTGAATGAAACACTCTTTAAATTGTTAGAAAATGACCAAAAAAGGTGGTAGTCTAAAGAGGCTAAATCTGGAGAATGTGGTGGGTGTGGCAGAACTTCCCAACTAAACTCTTTTAATTGCATGTTTGGTCATGTTAGTGATGTGGATGCACACTGGTCAGGTCTTTTCAGCTGAATTACCTCTTTGAGCCTTTGTTCATTTGTTCAACATACAGCTTAGCATTGACAGGTTGTTTGGAAGCATTTCATATTCTGCTAATGAAGTCATCTCCGTACACAGCACAAAAATTTCTCGGGCAACTTTGTGACCTTGATTAAAAGCAAATAGATGTCAAACATGTTCATTATTTGGTATTCCATCTAAAAGGGGTATCTTAACTGAAATAAAATTTTAATAATGTTAGACAACAGCTTAACAGTGACCAGAGTTATTTAGAAGCAAAAAATACTACAAAAGATTATACTTTGATATCATTTACAGAACATCAAAAGAAAAAAAAAAACAAACTAATGAATATATGTAACAACATGCAGATAAGTTTAAACTTTTAAAACTAGGACTAAAAAACAAGTTCATTTTTGGCCATGGGTTTTGAGGTCATTTTACTAGTTAATGTTTGGCATCATAGAAATTTGATTTCAAAAACCTTTTAAAATACTTAATTTATGAATTAATCATTTACAGAGCAAAACTGTTTCATTATGCAAATTAAATTTTGTTAATGTTATAGTCTTTGGTTCCTTTGATGGTAATATTTTTTTTTTGTTTTGTTAAGTGTTGTATGAGGGAAGTTTACTATGAAAACTTGCATTTTGTTTGAAGTCTTCATTTATTTGATAATTGGTATTGTTTTCTTCATTTTAGTATTTCATGATTTGAGAATATTTCAACTTGATTAGCTTTAAAATGTATCAATTTTAATCTGTTTTTAAATAGCTTCTTTTCTAAGTTTGGATCAAACAATAGTAAATAAATATTTATATTCATTATTTAAAATCCTTTTAAATAATGAATATAAATATTTGTTTACTATTATTTGATCCAAATCCTTAATTTGTTAAAATAAATTTAACAAAAAAAAAAAAAAAACTTTCATTGATACATCATATTTTTGCTAATTCAAATGATGTATATGTACAAATATTTACAAAATTAGATAAATGCTTTTCCATCATTAAAATATGGGGTTTGTTTGCTCAACTACTCCCACTTTAAAGATATTTTTTAAACCTGATACCTTTTGATTCAGTCAACAACTTAACATTCTAGATGAGTCCGAGAAGTTTATAGCTTTTTGCATGCATGCGTGCGTGTTATATATATATATATATATATATATATGTGTGTGTGTGTGATAAATGTATATAACAAACCAATGTTACATCAACTTTCTTCTATTAGATATAGGATACAGTAATAATCAATGATTCTTCTACTTTTCAAGTATTTTAAAATTGATTGGATATTTTATGCTGTTCTTACCATAACATATTATAATTTATTGTTTCTTCACTGTAAGAAGATTAATTTTACTTAAGAAAAGTAAACTATTTTGACCTTAGTTTGTTTTCCTGTAATTGAACTTTATTTGGAAATATAATAAATACTAACATGAAAAGAAATTAAGTTAGCTCAAAGGAATATTTTACAAATGCTATTAATACTTTCTCTTAAATATTTATAGTGTCATATTATTTGTATTTTAATATGGAAGGTTTTTCCAAGACAACCTTCAATTGTCTGTGTTTAATTGTATATGGACAAGGGGAGTGAGAATAATATCTTCTCTGGCACTAGGTGACATTGTTCATTTCAAATTTCTTGAATTCTTATTGCATTCTTGTATTGATTCCATCATCTTCATCTGAAGAGATAAATAAAAATCATGAGAGTTGCACAATATTATTTAGCATAGATTCTTATCAATCAGCATTTACAATATCAACAACTAAACAAGTAAATTAATCTTTTTAAAAGAATATCTGAAGAGATGAAGATGTTCTTTTAAAAGTGACTGGAGAAAAATTAACTATAAACAAATTTTTCCATACCAAAAGAATATTAAATTTTGAAATTTTTTTTTTTCTTTTCTTTTGTTTCAGTCAGCAATTGAAATTCATTTTTGTTTCAGGATGAATTTGAGACTATTAAGCTGAAGATTGAATTTCAAAATACTTGAGATTAACTTGTTTTGTCTTTTACAATCAGCTAATCAATCAAAACAGACATTTTATTTTTGTAATTAAAATCTACCTGTGATATTAGCAAAACATTTCCAATTGATTTTTATGGGTTTTTTTTTTGTTGTTTTTTTTTTTTTTTTTTTTTTTCTTTTTTGGTTTTTTTGTTTTTTCCATTTCTGATTCTAATAACAAAAACATTTTTAAAATTCTGATAATTTAAGAGTTTTATAGATGTTTTCTTTTAGAAACACATTGAGTATTATGACTTGAAACCTCGGGTTTATTAAATTTCTTATATGAAGTGTTAAAATATTGGACTTTTTTCTTTTCTTTTTTTTTTTACATGAGTGGAGGCGAAGAAAAATTTTTCTGGAGTTAAACAAAGTAAATATAGTTCTTTAGAAAATACCAAAGATGAAATATTAATACCTATTTCACCTGATGTAATTGTATATGGCAAAGTAACAAATGCCATAAAAAGTGCTATCAGTATATATAAGAGTTTTTAAATTCACCTTCTACACTATAGTGTAATATTTGGCATATTTCTGAACAACAAAATTCTAGATATATGCCACACAAAATTACCTTGGTTTCTGGAATTAAATGATTTTGATATCTATTACCATAACATCTTGTGGCATTTGCTATTTTTAGTCAATGTTATATGAAAAATATTTATTTATTTTTTAAGTTACAAAAATTTCAATATTTAAATTGAAAAAAAAAAGTATATATACTTTTTGTTAATACAGATATATTTACAAGAAGTAACTTTTTCTCCTTTTCTTTCAGGTGAACTACATCTAGATTTGAAAAAAAAATAATGAATACTACCAGATTGTAAAAAAAAAAAAAAATTCTTTTTATGTTAAAAAGAAATTAATTTACATTATGCCTAACCTCCAAGTTATCAGTGGAAGTTTAATTTAAAATTACTTTATAATCAGTTTTGTTTCCAATAACCTACAAAACAAGCCCAATTAATCAAGCTGTTAAACTATTTAAAATTTTAAACCTCATTTTACATTGAACATGAAAGGTATATTAAATATTTTAAACCAGATAAAAGGAGGCGAGGACTCACGGCCATATGACATTGAAAGTGGTTCTTGTGCAATCACCAAAGTTAAGCAACGTCTACCCTGGTCATTACCTAAATTGGTGACCACTTGGGAATAGCCTGGGCAGTTGGTGTAATTGATGATGTTATGGGATTGGAAATTGGAGAGCCAAAACCAAAATCCATTCAGGTTGATTATATTCACTTACTCACAAATACCCTTGGGAAAGATGAATCCATCTATTCTCACAGTTATGGATTAATTAGTAAGAACTGTATCGGTAAATCATTATCTCCAAAAATTTCTTAGAATCTAAAAATACTTTCTGGCTTTAAATAACCTGCAAAAGGTTGATAAGCCAAACCAAGTCAATCAGATGAAAGGAAATTTATGAAATAATTCCTTTGTTTTTAGGTCAGCAAAATGTTTTACCTTCAAAGAAAAGCTTTTACAATGTGGTAATGTGCCTTTTTTATTTATTTTTTTTTTTTTATTTACCCTTATTTTTCTGTATTTTCATGTCACTTTGTCATAGCCAAGGTAGGTATTAACATAAGAGATATAAATTTTTGAGCTAAAAACAATTGTTAATAAAAAAAAAAAAAAAAACACATACTTTACATAGTTGTTGTCTTTGTTTTTTTGGGTTTTTATTTTTTCATTAAAAAAATAAACTTATCATTTAAGAGAAATGATAAAGGGGGTCACTTTACACTTGCACCTTTTAACAAGAGGGAATATGAAAGGAGAAATGGGCATTTATAAGGGGTTGATGGTTGAAACTAGGCAAAAGTGACAAGGAATTCATTACCACCACCACTATGCTGCTGCTGCAGCAATAATAATCATTCTGACATGCCTACTTGCTGTCTGTCTGTGTCTCTCTCTCCCCATATTTTTCTGTGGGGTTAACTATTGCACCTCCCTTCTGAAATTTCCTTCGTTCTTTTCTCTCCACCCCTTATAGATGAGTCATCTGATACTCTAGATCCCTTTTCAGTGTGCTGTTGAAGTCATAACAATCAATTTAGTTTTGTGGCATTGGCACCCACAATTTATTATTTTTTGTTTATAGCAATAAGTTTGTGCAATTAGATTTTTATTCACATTCCTTTACTCTTAAAAACATTGCATCCTGCTGACCTTAGAAGCTATTGTGATTATGATATTGATACAGTGAAAGCTGACCTATTCTACTTGATTGATTTAGCAATTAAAATATATTAATCTCTGTTTAATAGTTTTTAAACAATAGCTTTTTATATTTAAAAACGAAAAAATTTTATTTGCATAAAATCTTTAAATTTGTTGAATTATAAAGTAGAGTATATTCAATGCATGCTAATGGTTAAATGAACAATATTTTTTAAATGATTGATCTTTCTGAAAATATATATAGTATATTTTTTATTTAAACTATAATATTTCTGATCTATAATGCAGTTAAAATATAAAAAAAGTATTTTTGTTTTGTTACATTAATCCTGAATTGCTTAATTTTCTCCAGTAATGTCAGTCATTTCATATTAATATGAAGTGAAATGCAAAATTGGTTGGACATTTAAATATTACTGGAGGAAATTGAGAGATACTTATCTAATTTTCTGAAAAATCTATTTGTAATATTTTAAGTAGGTTTTCATTTGTCTAAGATCTGTTTTAATAGCTTCTTTATAAAGAGAAAAAAAGAAATCAGTATCAAGATGAAAATGCTAGGAAGTTTTGCAAATTTTTTAAAAGAGTTTAAATATCTTAAATAATGTCTTCGGTATTTCTGTAAAATTAATTTTAAATATACTATTCCTGTAACAAAATATCACTTTTAAATAATTGCTAATAAACTACTGATTATGTTTGTAATTGGCTGAAGATTTTGTCATCTTCAGCCTGGTATTCTTAATTTTGGTATATATAAAATATTAAGGTATGAAGCAATATTTAAAATTTATAATGAAAGTTTTTTAATTTACTATATAAGGGTCATTCTGAAAAAGTGATACCTCTTTATATTGACATGATGTTAGAGATAGCTGTTGGTATGCCAGTTGAACCTTCCTGCCAATAGCAATTTTTTTTTTTTTCTCTCAGATGGCAGCCTAGTGAAATTAAGTTTGGCATGAAGGGACATGAAACTGGTGTATCATTGAATTCCTCTGTGTGAAAAAATGTTGCACTATTCCATTTATAAATACTTGCTGGATATATATGGAAACTAAACTGAGCACAGTTAGGCAATAAGTAATGCATAGCTAATGTTAGTAACTATGTGAAAAATGTCTATTTTTGCAAAGATAAATAGGAGACATAACTTTTGGAGCATCCTTCATGAATATCTGGACCATCTTAAATTTTAAAACATTCTGAGGCTCTTGCTAACAAATTTATAATTTGTTAATTTAAAATTTACTTATAAATGATGAAATTTCTATAGGGTTCTTTGGTAAGCATTTTAAATCTAGACTAAATATTTCCTAAATTAATTTCTTTGAGAAAAATTGTATGAATTAACAATGTCATACATACCATCCCAAATATGTTTTTTTTTTTTTTTTTTTTTTTTTTTGTATTTGTATCTCGATATGAAAATAATTGAGAATTACTATTACCATTGTTGCTGTTATTTTACATGGTGCTGTGAACAGGATCTGGTGAATATGTGTTGTCTATCTTAACAAAATAAGACATGGCATCTGCACCAGGTGGAACCCTCAATTTGATTCCTCAACTCTGGCAACAAATGATAGAATTACAAAAGGAAACTTGCGCTTCAGAGGGACAGAATCCATGACATGATGCAAACGTTCAACACATTGAACCCAATACAGTGACTGGACATTATTCCTTGACGCTTGGACTCGTTATAAGGAGATTGGTAAACTTACCAACTTAATCGAAATATGCAACAAATTGAGAATGACATTCTTGCCTGATGTCAACAGGCTCCATTTTGACCTTATAGGGGCTGAAATCTTAAATTTGGCTATGGACAAAAGGCTTTTGTCACACATCTGATTCATTGTAGTAAAGGGCCTGCACAAGCAAATTCACCAGCAGATGTTTCATTCCACACGTCAGGCAGAATGTGAGTTAATCACTCATTTTTTTAGCAAGGCTATGAACTCTAGCCAAATTTTGTTCACAGTTGATTGTCTCAACACAGAAGACTGCTGTCAACAAGTCAACTACTCCTGCAACATGATATCTAGGCAGAGTTGAGTTTTTGCCGAGGCTGCCAAACTTACCACACTCTAGCAAAAGTTTGACTGACTCATTAGCTGCACGATTACTAAATGTTAGCCTATCAACCGTGTCCTATCTATAGATAGCTGGCCATGAGCAGCATGCATTTTGACAAACCTGAAGAACTAATGTACCTGCTTCTCCAAATAAGAATCCTTATGTGGCTTGTAGGAAGACATTCCACCCAGATGGATCAATTAGTAGGAGAAATTGCCCAACAGCTAAACTGTTATGTTATAATTGCAGGATTAGGGGTTATGTAAAAAAAAAAAAAAGGTATGCCAGAAATCTGAACCCTGAACTGATCAACAAGGTGCGAGATAGGGTGTAATTCATTCACTTTCTCAAACACAAGTCTGAAATTTCCTCCCACCCATGCCATCCACTGTTGGCAGATCAAAATGGAACTGTAAAACCAGTTTAATACCGCCTTTTGCTGTGCCTCATCTTATGTGGAATGAAAAACGATTTGAAGGTGTCCCAGATCGACTGCCATCAGTGATAATAGAAGGGATTATAATACATCAAACCCATGCTTCCTTTGGATGCAACTAGACTTGGTCCAATTAGCCACGGTAGTTATCACATCCTTGCATTCGCTGATACAGGGTCTCAAACTTGTTCAAGTGAACCAGAGATATTAAAACTCTTCAGTTGCCCAGACAAGTACTTTATGCCAATTAGTCATGGAATCACAGACAACCATTTTCATATAAAGGGTGTTCATGCATCTAAGAATTAGATTGAGAAAGACACAACAGATGATGTGTGTGTCAAACAACATATCTGGTTTTTACTTATCAGAATCTGCCCTGAAGGACCTACAGTTGTTGCCACCTGATTTTCCAGCCCAGACGTCATGGCTCAACTTGTTGAAGGGTGCAAAGGAAAATGCCCTTTGCACATTACAGAAAACCCATTCCAACGATGTTTAGTAACTTCCTGTTCCTTCTGACAGAAACCAACAGGCACCTACTGAATGATGGATATGTGTCCATTTAATACATACCTACACCAACCCTTACAGACTATGACAAGAAAGGCATTGGACATTATCTTCACCCCCTGATGCAAGGCCATCAGTGGTCCACACACTGATCCATGTCCCTTACCATTGGAAGAAGAGAGTGAAACAAGACCTCAATCAAGACATCACATTGGATATAATTTAACTGGTGCTAGTAAGCACTTCTACAATCTGGTGCTCAAGGATAGTGGTTACACCCCAAAAAGATGGCTCCCCCCAGACACATGGTAGACTTACAAGAATTGGATGCTGCCTCTATGAAGGAAACTCATCCCATGCCATCCCTATTTAATCAGGTCTCTATTGTTCCAACTTGGACAAGGAAAATAGTTCTGGATGCATAGAATGGGTACCACAGCTTACTGCTTACCCCAGCTGCACAAGATGCCACCACATTTATCACTGAATGGTACAGGTATCTTCATGCTCTCCAGGGATGTCACACACATCTGGAAATTGATGTACCCTTCGATTTGACAATATTACAGTGGACATGGTTGGAAAATTCCTCTGCATAGACAATATCCTTATTTGGGACGATTCCATAAAAGTCCTTGTTCTGGCACACAATGGAATATATTTAACCTACTGTCGGTAGAATAGGGTTGTGTTTAACACTGACAAGTTCCATTATGCAGAGAATAAGGTAGAGTTTGTCAGGTTCTTAATAATGGCCGATGATGTGAAACCAACAAAGAAAATGACTGAGGCCATCCTTCACGTTTATATGCCCACAAATATCATAGGTGTCAGATCCTGGTTTGGACTGATGAATCAGGTATATTATGCAATTTCTTTAGCTGAAGTGATGGCCCCCTTCCAGGAATTACTGTGCTCAAAGAACCAAAAATTTCATTGAGATGAAATGCTTGACCAACTCTTTGTAGAGTCAAAGTAATCAAGACATTCAAGATCAATAGAATGACACGTCTTTCAACAGATTGCAGTAAAACAGGAATCAGTTACTTTTCTTTTTCAAAAACACTTGACATCTATAATGGAGTAACTGGCCTTATCTCCAGATCTCGGTCCCATAGAAAATGGGGAATGATCAAATGTGATGACATACATTAGAAACACGCGATATTACACTCTTGTGGAGCTGAAACAAGCTATGGATGGATGAATGAAAATCCCTTAAACTATATACTTTATAAATTGGCAAACTCATTGACAGATGATGGCAAAAGGTACAGCCATAAAATACTAACTTTTTGCTAAATAAGGTTTTCTTAAAAACAGTTACACTGTTAATATTAATGAACATCATTTTTTTAATGTTTTTATAAAAAGACTGTCTTTTAAAAGGAATAAATTAAAATTTATGACTACACAGAAAAAACTTAATTTTGAAGCAATTAGTTGTTTTATGTTATTGGTAAATTTACCAAAGTTCATATTTATTTTATATTATTTTTTTCGAGTACTTTTGAATGTTGCTACATTTGTTTTCAAGGATTGTTCTCTGTATATTTATGCAGAACATGTTTGTCTATAGTATGCTTATTTATTCTTAGTAGTTTAAACTAGTTCCAAATTTAGCATTTAAAATATATTGGACATCTTTCAGTTTGGGATTCATTACATTAAAAACTTAAGAAAAAATCTATTTCAATAAAATGTTTTTATGCCTATAGGTAAAATATTAACTTTTTATCATGATCTTGTCATTTTGGAGGTTTTTATGCTACAAACATTTT